TTTCTTTTTTTCTTCTCGCCTCCTGCCCCTGCAAGGGTAGCGTCGCGTCGTGCCTGCTCGGCCTGGACGTCTTCCCCGTCCCAGGCCCGCTAATGGGCCGGCTCGCCAGGGGAGGCTCGCGGTCGGCGCGGGTTGGTGCAGAAGCGGGGGGGCGCGTCCCACGCAGCGCGCGGGGGGCGGGGCCTCGCGCCGGGGGAGGGAAGGCGGGCAAGATGGCGCCCAGCGAGTGATTCGTCCTGGGTTTCGCCAGCGGTCGCTGAGGCACCAGGGCGGGGGGTTCTGTCCCCACAGCCGCCCTTCCTCCTCTCCCCGCCCCCGGAGATCCCCCCCTTTCCCTTCCTCCCTCTACCTCAGGGGGTGGGGGGAGGCGGACCTGGTTCCCGGGACACCATGTCGGACTCTGAGGAGGAGAGCCAGGACCGGCAACTGAAAATCGTCGTGCTGGGGGACGGCGCCTCCGGGAAGGTCAGTCCTCGAGCGAGCTCGTCGTCCCAAGCCTGCAGGAACCCCGGCGCGGCCCCGGCGCCCCCCGGCCTCCTCCCCGCCGCCCGGCGTCGCCTCGTTGCTCTGAGCCTCGGGGCCTCTGGGTCCGGGCCCGCCTGGTCGTGGCCTTGGGCCGGACTCGCAGCAGGCTCTTGGTGAAGGCTGATGAGAACTCTCCAGCTCCCCTTAAATTTAAAAAAAAAAAAAAAGTCACTTCCCAGCTCCCTGACTAGATAGCGACCTCCTCCTGCTCCTTCAAGACTCGGCAGCGTCGCCTCCTTGGGAAGGTTTCCAGCTTCTTGCCTCTGAGGACTGGCCAGGATCCGCCACGGCATCTTACGTCGTTTTTTTTTTTTTTAGCCTGGGTCCCAGTGCGCTTCCCCTGCCCCGCCCCCCGGCCGTTTCTGACGCCCCCACGGGAACTCCCGAGAGCTAATCAGATTCCCTGGGTGAGAACGGGGGCTCCCTCGCTTCCGGGCGGGGTCACTGGAGGACACACGGCTGACCCGTTTGAGCTGCTTCCGTAAGGGGGTGGGGGGGGGTGTTGATCGGGGTCGCCTCGAAGGGTGAAGGGAGCCCATGCGCACGTGGACGTCCACACGCAGCTTGCAGACGCAGTGTGCACGCCGATAACGAGCGCCACCCCTGTGTACCTGTGCGCCGCGCACAGCACCTGTCCGCACAAGCATTCCCTCCGCCAGGGCCGATGGAGAGTCTGGGGCGGGCTGGAAAATGAGGGGCGAGCTGCCCGCGCGCCACAGGGGACCCTTGCGTCGCCGCCCGCCCGGCCTTCGGGGACCTTCGGTTGAATGAACGGGAGCGAGCGCCTGCGTGACAATACCCGATAGCCCGCCCCCACAGCGCTTAGGCAGGGGTTGTCCCCAGGGCTGCGGCGCGCCCGAAATGGGGTCTACATGGCCCGGTGCTTGCTCTTTGGAGAGGGTTCATGGGATCTCACAGGGGTCTGTGACCCCCCCCCCCCCCAAATAAAGCGAAGGGCCTCTGCCGGGGTGCCTTCCCACCTGTCGCTTCTGTCCAAGGCGCCAACACTGTTTCTGGGAATATTGCTCAAGTTTGTCTCCTTTCTTCTCCGTCTCCCTTTTCCCAGCCAGTCTTCAGGTTATTCCTACCCGTTTCTCGTTTTCGGCCTCACGTCTCCGTGTTACGGATGTAGTTTTGGACGCTGGTTCTGCGGTAACGATTGCTCTTTGCATCTTCCCTGGCGTTTGGCACTGCGCCTGTCTTGGGCTCTGAGATTTGAGTTCCTAGGGCCCTTGGGAAAGGGGTCATTCATCTGCAAAATCTGGAGAATTCTGTTAATTTCTTTTAGGCCTTCCCCTGTATTTTGTTATTGATTTTTCTTGCTGAGGAAAAACAACTTAATATGCTTTTAAACATTTTGGGGAAGAGAAGAACATGGGATCACTCTTCTTTATAAAGTATTAAATGAATTTTTGTACACTTACAACTTTTGAATGGATGAACTGTTTTAAATCAGCATAGTTTCTAACACCCTTATTCAATAAAAATTTTAAGTCACATTTCTAGTTTTCTCATCATTCATGTTTTCTTTTGAATGCTTTGTAGTTTTTCATCTCCTAAATTGTTTTATCAACTCACAACTGAATTTATTTCCTGTTTAAAATTATGACAATCTATAATACTCATACACTTGTAAAAAGACACAAAAATTGCCTATTATCTTACATTCTATCGTCATTTTTTAAACTTGTGTTTATTTTTTCTCCCAGTGTTTATGTTATCATGTGCATTTTACTCAGTTGAAATTTGTTCATAATTTTGTATCTAGGTTTTTCATTTGGGCTGTCATGCGTGTTTTCCTCTTGTTGCTAATTTAATGTGAATAATTATGTTTTTTTCATCTCTGTCTAAAATTTTGTTTAGGACAAAACATAATTTTTTCCCTTCTCCATTGTTGAAGGATTATTATTTCTGCTTCAAAGGATAACAGTAGTATTCTTTATGGTGTTTCGACTTAGTCTTTATCTTGACTCATCTATTTAAAATATTTCTGCCAGAAATTTTCAGATACATGCATTAGAAACCTAACCTTTTATCATTATTCATGTATCAAAGTTTTTTGTTTCCTCCATACTCTATTCAGCTCTCAAATTATTGGCAGCTGCCAACATTCCCATTCTATGTACTGTTCTTTTCTTTTATGAATTCAGCCTCTCTTTCATTCTTATTTGTATCCTGATTTAACGCCGGGCCATTTTTTCTAGCATTAGTTTTCCCTGCTAGCTCTGACTTGGGGCATTTTTGTATGTTACTGACAGAAGCAACAGATTATTGAGAAGACCACTAATAGTTTCTCCAAGAGAAATTTAGCTGCTCCTCCTAGTAACGTTTCTATTCTCCTGTTTTGATGCATACTTTTGATTTTATTATATATTTTTAAAGATTTTTTTAAGGCAAAACGTTCTTTATGATGTCTTTTCAGTGTTTGTAAATGTGGTATTGTTAAAAATTGTTAGCAAAAGTTCACCAAACAAAAAAATATAAAGAATGAGATCAACATGTTTCAGATATGGTAGATGGTTGTTCATAACTGTTTAAGAAGGGTATTTATGCAGTGACTTGTGAGAAATTATTGGAAATGAAAAATGGCACAAAGACTCGATAATTGGAGAGGAAGTGCCTCCCAGTGATTGGGGTGATTGGGTTGATCCTCTGCTTAATTTTTACAGTAAGGTGTCTGGAGATGACAGAAGGACCTGTTTTAATATTTTGTGTTCCCAGTGACCAATACTTTTGACAGATTATGCTCCATTTTATTTGAAACCCTAGCTTTATGTTTGCCTCAAAATTGTGAGTCTATGGCTTTCAAAATTTAGAAGTACTGTTTCCAGGAAAAGAACCTTAAAATTTTTCTGACTATTCATTAATAAAAATAACGAATTTTGATAATCTCAAAAGAAAGTGGGAAATTACCTTAAATGACATAATGCTGATGTTACGTATGCCCTGAGTTTCTCTTTGACTTATAGTACTATTTCAGCCTTCCATATATTAAACATTTTGAAATAATAGTGTAAGTGATTATAGTTATTTTTCTCTAGAACTCTGAGCCTCTTCACAGATGATTTTGCGCTCTAAGTTAAACAGGCTCAATGGCATAGATAAGGCTAAATGAGAAAAGGGTTTAAAAAGGAGTGCTTACCTTTTAAAATCCTGATTTTTCATTTTTTTTAGTATTGTTATATGCTTCAAGAAAGCCAAATAAATTTTTATTTTGGTGTAGTGACTTTATATCTCATTGTCTAGCAGAACATCTTTCTTGTAGTGCTCAATAAATATTTGGCCCAGTGTCTTAGAAATTTGTTACAAATACTCAGTATTTATTAAAAGATTGGAGTTAGGGTGTGCAAATTGCCATTTGTGTGAAAAATACAGTTCTTGTGTCAAAAGGAATTTTAGTTCTTTTTGTGTAAAGCAATTGAAATTTGGTCAAGTTTTCTTTTGCACTGTTGTACTTACATCATGATTATAATAAGTGATCTAGGAAATTTTATTTTAGTTTTAAGTATTTTAGGAGTTGACATCTAATTTTAACTTTTAAAATAAAAACATGCTATTTTTCCGTAACTTTGGGAGTCTGTCTTGAAAAGAATAAAAGCTTCATGAAGCTGCCTTTTTCTTTTTTGGGGGGAAGTTTACAAATAAATAAGTAGTGCATTTGAAATGTTTAAGAAGCTTGTGAGTTGTTTCAGTTGTTACCAGAATGATTAATTATTCTTTGACTTTCATAAAAAATGGTACTCTCAAAGAAAGCCCCAGAGTTTTGAATACAACTTTGTTTTTAAAAAATTTAGATACTGTATATATTTGTTCTGGTTATAATATTCTTGTGACTTTTAAGCTTTATGGTTTTGGGGTGGAAAATATTTATTTTTGCTTGCTTAGTATTAATCTTAAAAATATCAACTTTGTAATTTAAAAGATACATACTATCAGAGTCATTCTATAGAATCAGTTTCATTTAACAGCTTTAATATTGAAAAAAATTAGACTCTCAAAGATTCTTTTCTTGTGGGGCAGGGGGAAAGAAAAGAAATTCTATAAATAGGCTTTCCCCTCCTTAATCAGTACCTTTTATTATTGGCAGAGGCACAAACCACTCAGAAATGAAACCTAGAGTCCTCTGAAATTTGTATTGAACTGATATATATGGATATATAAAACTTAGATCTTTAATCATAATTTTTTAGTTTTCTCTGTTGGTAAATCTCAAATTTTAATTTCCAGAAAGGAGAAGGAGCTTGACAATTAGGGGATTTAAAGAGATCTAAACTGATAAGTCTATTGTCCCCGCTGATAGCTATTGGCAAGTGAAATTTACCTGATGGAGTGTTAAGTGGCTCCTCCCCTTGTAACTGATTAGAACTGCTTAGCAGTTGTTTGTTGGCCTAATGGGAGTATGAATGTTAGGATTACTTAATAATATTTAGTAGTGAGTTTATGTTTACATTTATAAAACAAAGACATTAATTTTACTATTATGTGCATCAATTTTTTTAGACCTCCTTAGCTACGTGTTTTGCTCAAGAAACTTTTGGGAAACAGTACAAACAAACTATAGGACTGGATTTCTTTTTGAGAAGGATAACATTACCAGGTAAGAGACTAAAAGTCTTGACATAGAAAATTGTGCATACCTTACAATAAAAGACATAGGCAGAAATGTGTAAAATAAATTTTGGTACTCCTTCTACGTGAAACTATATGTCATCAGTGAATTTAGCTTAGGGAGGTTAACTTTCATTAGCATCTAACATGAAGACACATTGTCCATGGGAGTGAGAAAGAATATAGAACACACACACACACACACACACACATATGTATATACATATAGTCCTGTATTCCTCCACCCTCCAGTTTTTGACCACTACAATTTTTTTGAGGATAAACAATAGTTGCTTATAAAATTCTAAAACGTTTTCAGAAAAATCAAATGCTATACAATTATCAACAGATATTGTATAAACTAAATGGAAAACACTGGAAAGGATTATTTTTAAAAAATATTATTTTGATTAGCCTCTGCTTCAGTTTTTTGTTTGAGAGAAAGTTGGACCAGAAGTATAATGTAGCTATGGAACTTCTGTGCTCTAATATGTGAATGCTGTTTTATGCAAGGCAGCATGAAATTGCTGGCATTTAATAGACCACTAAAATTTAGGGTCCCTAGGCACTCATAAAAATACAGTTTGAGCATTCAAGATGTTTCAGTTCACCATGCAAAGAAACTATTTAGATGCCAGTTGCAGCACATTTTGTGGGAAATACAGGGAAATAATAACAAAAAAAGAGTGGATTCTGTTTTAAGTTAGTTTCTGAACAATTGGGGCTTTAAAATTCTCTGTCCATTCACTTGTGATGGTTAAATTATATGTTTAAAGTATTTTATTAAAAGCAGTTTATCTTGATTGACTTTATAAACTAGTCCATCCTTCTCCTCTCTGAGGAAACCCATTTGAATAAAAACGGTTGCCAGTGTAGTATCAGATTCATGTACTGGAATGTGAGTGATATAGTGGAAAGGGGTTTAATAAATTCCAATATTACTGACATATTTTAGTCTCTCAAATACCCCACCTCTCAGACAACTTTCCATGAAAGTTACAGAGCAGCTAATGAAAACTCTTGGTAATTGAAGGTATTCTGCATATCTCACTAGTAATATATTCTATTTTGTGATGGTCTGTATTTGGCTACCAGTGAAAAATAAATTAGAAGATATAGCATGAGAAGAGAATTCTTATTTTCCATTACTGAGTTTTTGTTCAGCAAGAGGTTTAAATAAGAAACGTGTGTATTTAGTTTCATTTGTATTTTCTTTTAATGTATTCAAAACTGAAAATGTTATTTTTATTACTTTCTTATGGGTAGATTAATGCTACATTCATAATACAGCAGTCACTCACAGAATACATGTAAAAGTCACATAATACACATGCTGAAAACATATTTTTACAAGTTTTTCCTGAGATGCCAGTTGTACACAGAAAACCTCAGTATGTATTTAGTTATTGACTAGTTTCTTTTGATGCTAATTAGCAAAAGCACCAATTTTCTGCATAATTAATATTGTTTAATTTTTCTGATTTTTTTTTTTTTTTTAGTTTAAAGGCTTAAATAAAGGAGCAAGCACCTACTCAAACATTAAAAACATTTTAAGACTCATTTTGGACATTTTAAACATGATATAGGTGATGATTTCTGATCTGTTGCACAATACCACTAATTTTAAAATTTTGATTACTTTGTAAAAAATATTTGGTATTTTTGAAATTCAAATTTATAGTAAATCTTTAGAGTTAGAAAGTATTTAGGTTAAAAAACAACCTTAGTAAATGTATATTCAGTGAATGTGTATTTTAAATTTCCTGATTAATTTTTTATTTTGATGGGCAGAGTTCCAGAAAAAAATTTCTTTTTTTGAAAAGGCAATTGGTTTTATGCTACTTAATGGACTCGAAATTATGGTAGAAATTTCAGTTGGAAAAAATTGTTTTAATGTATCTTGATTTTATGTAATTAATAGGTACATTAAGAAATAAGGTGAATAAATTACCAGGTTCATAGTATATCCTTTATGTACTTTAACCTTAATTTAAATTTATTGTAAATGTTAAATGTAGGTTGATTAATATTGTATCATTTGCTAAAGCACTACAGGTAGCATTATTGAATTTATAGTAAAGCAGCGGAGTTGTCGAATCTGATATTTGTTAGTATTCTAGTAAATCTTGTGTCCATTCAGATTGTTAGCCGTGTAATACCTCCTGTCCATCTATTCACATTCTCTTCAGCAAGTTTTCAAGGCCATTACTTTGCAAATTCTCATCCATTTTCGTGTATTTCATGATCCGGTATGCTGTATAGTCTGGATGCAACCACTGTGCAGATTTTACTGCTTAAAATAGTGTATCTGTTAGTCAGAGATTCTGCTGATAGAGCTTCTTAAGAGCCTTAGTCAAAATACTTTCAGGAAGCTTGTGGGTACAGTCCAGTAAACAGCGTTCTACTGTGAAAAGGATTTCTAAGTCTTTAGTACAAGAAGTGGGCAGACTTGTGTTTTTAGTTCCATCCTGACTATGCAGCACTTTAAGTAAGGTTAACCGAGGCACCAAGTGTACTTTTACAAGGTCACTGTTGAATCCTCTTTGTGGCTTTGATTCATACCAAAAGCAACTTACCTGTATTTTGTCACCTCATTTATTTTATTTTTTTCCCTAGTTACATGTCGTTTCTTACAGAGGAGCAGGAATTTTGTAGCATTTTGCATTTGGGATTAGATTGCTGACAATTTCCTTAACGTTCTTTATTAGTTAGACATTTATATTAGATGGATTCTTGATTTTTTAAAATTTTGCAATACTGATTATTTAAATACTGTTATATAGCTTTATAAGTATGTTGTTTTGAAAATATATTAGACTTCATGTTTATACCTGCAAATCTAAAATGAATATTGATTTAAATTCCATCTTTATGTGATTTAGTTTCTTTTTATTTTTATGTGTTAATAAGCCTCAAATTCAAATGTGGAAGTTAAAAATAGATTTCTACATATATGAAATGACTGTAAAGTTAATATATTTGTTGAGGCTATAATGATAGTAAACTTATTTTTTTGGCTAGCATTGTATATTAATGGTTTATCAATAATGCATAGCTGGTTTTTTTTTTATGAGGTACTAGAATATGAGAAAACAAGCCAACAACAACAGTGTTTATTTGGAAAGCTATACATTTAAAAAATACCCTCAATACATAGATGTAAACCTCTTAGATGGGAGACAGTCGAATAAACGATTTGGAGTCTTGAAATGATTGTGGCTAGAATTTGAAAACGTTAATGAAGATCATGTCCCTAAGTTAATAGGTAAGGTGTTCACAGCACCTAATTCAGATAAGATCTGAATGTCAGAACTTAAAGGAAAAAAGCTTCATATTTGTTGATATGAAGTTAGTGATGGGGTTTATTGGCCTTGAAGAAAATGGGATTAGGTGCCTTTTATTAAGTATTGCCTAAAATTTTCTTGTAAAAGCTAATATTGTTAAACACTGTTTTTTTGAAGTAAACAAATGTTTGTAAATGGTTTTGCAAATAAAATGAATAGAGTTCTGCCTGGTTATCTAGGGGCTTCTGAAAGTATGTGATAGAATTTTAGTGACGACCAGCCCTATCTCACCTGCTTAATTTGAGACAGCATGACAGGAGAATGATTTCAGCTTTGAATCCTGAAAAATTTAGATTTTTAAGAAGTTAGGTTTATTCAAGCTGTTGGACAAGTCTTAGACTGTGACATTTTGGTTTTCGTATTCCTGGAGCTTTAAGAATGTTTCTGTCATTACTCTGAGCACTGAAAGTATGTGTATGTGGGTGTGATGACGGGTGATAAACTTCAGTAGCTCTCGTTAATGCTAATGGAAGTTCCTCATGTAAATCTTCTGCATGTTGGCAGATGGAACAGACCTACTTCCAAATAATGGAAAGATTGTAATGCAAACCCAACAAAACTTAGAGTTAAGGGTAAAACTTCACTGGTTAGCCCAGTGTTGTACTTTCTTTTCAGCTGCAAAGTTGAATGATGTAACTAACATTCTCTGATTTTAGTGTTTTACATTGTTATAAAAATTCATATCTTTGTAATCCTTTGCTTTTGGTTTTTGAAATGAGACCTTTTTTTAGTGTCTAAGTTTTTATTTTGAATTTTCCTGATTTGTAAATCATTCAGAGAGATACATTTTTTACTGGGTAGGGGGGAGCTTATTTTGAAGGTACTAATTGAGACTGTCTACTTTTGGAGAAAATTGCATAATTTTATTAGGAGAAATAGTTTGAAATGTTAAACTAAAAAGTGTATTGGACGTGGTCTTTTTTTAGTCATTAATTGCACTGATTAGAGAGAGTAGCTTATCTCATAAATTTTTGTATCAACCAAATATTTTGCAAAATTGACAAAAAAATTGAAAGATTGATTTGTATTTTAGAATGCTTTTATAATTCTTGCAAAGATTTGTTACACTTGTATGAAGGCTTGAAGCATATATTATAATTTGTTTCAGTGGAAATGCTTTGAACAGGTATAAAGGCATCATAATATTTAATAATGTATCGTGTATGTATCCTCCCTCATTTCTGAAGAGGGTTATCAAATGCGTTTATATTTTCTAGATTAAACTTGAAAACATGTAATTTTAAAATTATGTTTACTATTACATATAATAGCTGATGTTCAAATTTAAAAAATTCATTTAAGTTGAAACTGTGGATCCATTTTTGTAGTCTATTATCGATCTGTGGGTTTTAGAACCTATAGTATATAGAACTTACAGCAAAATACATTATGTATAATAGGGTAGGTTAGTATGTACAGTTCAGTTTTTATTTTTAAAGTATATTTCTTTCCCCATGTACAAGTGCTTTATTTTTCTATTTTCTGTTTAAGGAAGAGTTTTTCAAAGTTTAAGAAGTTTATGAATTAAAGCTTTCTTCATTTTCTTTGTTTTGAAGGTGATTATAAATGTGGAAATGGGGTAAAAGTATAAACCTAAATTCCCCACTATGATTTCTTTAGATAACATTATTTCACAGCTCCAGGTATCTAACTGTATGAACCTGCAGAATAAAAGGCAAATTAGGTTCAGAGTATATCATTGTGACTGGATGTTCTGTGAAACTGTGTTCAGTTGTTATTTTGTTGCTTTGCATTTTTTGTATTCTTTTTTTTCATATTCTTTTCTTATATTGTAGGAAATGTGAATGTTACTCTTCAAGTTTGGGATATAGGAGGGCAGACAATAGGAGGCAAGATGTTGGATAAATATATCTATGGAGCACAGGTAAGACATGAATTCTGTGGCTATTGCAATACTGAAAATACAAACATACACAAGAGGGTGAACACTAACACACTCTTTCTAATGTGATGTTCATCTGATATGTAGAGAGACTAAATTTATATTTGTGCTAATCCTTTGGTTTCATCCTCAAAATATGTTTGGAATGATTTGGGTTAAGGAACTGGTGTGACTCTTAATAGCTTTCATATGCTACTTGTCTTATTAAATATTGTTAGTAGTTGAATAAATGTAGTGATAAATGGTATTTGATATTATTAGCTGACTTAGTAATAGTGACTACTTTCAGAATATATAAACTGAATGAATGAAAAATATAGAAAGGGAAAATTTAATTTCATTTTAAGTTGTAAGGAAAAACATTTATATATGTATATATTTTTGTGCTATGAATTAGTCTATTAAATCTTTACAGTTTTCCAGATTTAATAGATATATCAATATATTGTATCAGAAAACTATGACTAATTATATGTATAATGCACATACAATATTTTAACATGATATGATGTCTTTTCAGAAGAAAATATATGTAGAATAAGAAAACCTCTTGAATAATTAATTACATAACAAAAATTATTAGGCAATATGGGTTTATATACACATAATTTATAAGTTTTAAAATTAAACAAATAGGAAATACATATGGTATTAACATACTTTTAAAAGTTAATTATAGATATGTTAATAAGTTTTGCTTTTTCTTCCTCTTTTAATTAGTGTGTGCCTTTCACATCATCATGAGGCATTGGGGTGGGGGTTGATGTTTTAAGTGGGAGAATCATAACTTGGTTATGTGGAACTCTGTTGTTCATAAGAAATGAATCTAGAAGATGAAGACAGAATGTTAAGCCTCTTCTTTACGAAGAAGTTTGATGCTTGTTAAATACCATTGCCTTAGTTTTGAATGGAAAATAGAGTCTGGATTATTTTCTAAAATAAAGGAGGCTCATGTGGTTCTGAGTCATATATAAAGACCAGAGTTTTATTTTTTATATTATTGATATATAGATTGAGCTTTTAGAACTCTTTCTTCTTTGCCTTTTTATTCTGCGTTATTTCGGTCTCCTGAAAAGTCTTTCTGTTCATTTAACATTTGCACTAGTGACTGTATGACTTGATATTTTATGCACGTTCATTTTTCTCTTAAAAGGTACGTCTCAGATTTTTGCTTCTGGCTTTATTGTTGTTTAATTTTTTGTTTTAAACTGATTATGTTTAAAGTGGATATTAAGCTAAAGAAAAATTACTGGACAGAGATTTGTGGGAATCAACAGTCCTTGTTTCACTCACCTAGTTGTTAAAATGGGATTTGAAAGTAACAATTTCTTTTCTCTTTGCTCCATTAAAATTAATCTTCAAAAACACATGTTGGATTTAAAACAAATGAAAATTAGATCAGTCAAGCTTCTAATGATATTTGATTCTGAGTTTCAAATAGAATATCTTTTTATGGTTTATAGATATAGCTAGAGTTAGTGGAGAACTGGGAGAGTTTATGTACCTCCAGATAAATAATAATATAAAATTCAATTAGTAAATTCACTTAAAATTGAGGGAAATGTAACATTCATGCATTGGATTCTTTTAATTTTACCATCCTTCAGATCATTTTAAAAATTTATTATTTGAGATATTTAAATTGACTTAAAGTTTATTAATATAAAATTATGGTATTATATATAATTAATATTGATATGAAATTCACATAATATAAAATTAACCATTTTAAAGTATATAATCAGGGGCATTTAGTACATTCACACTATTGTGTGACCATCCCTTCAGATCATTTTTTTTACAGTGTATGTTTTATGCTGTTACATATCTGCTTAAAATCAGCAGGCATTAATAGGCAAATTTGTAGAAATTTCAGAAATTTCCATCTTTTTTGAGAGTACTTGAGTTTAGTAAAATGTCTCTGTTCTTTTCTAATGTACTTCATGCATCATATTCTTTCTTAGAACATTGTCATATTAGATTTCTATTTTGAAGGTACATGTTGACTTTTTTCTCTTTGATTTATACTTTATACTTCACAATTTCTGTGACTGTTATAAGCATATACCCTGTTTTATTAAACAACAATATAGTACAGTGCCTCTGAGAAGTTCATGAATATTTTCATGAAATTTACCCAGGAAACTAGGAGTTCTGAGACAAAAAAATGAATTGTCATAAATTAATGATAACATAATAAATTTTCTCTGCTTTCCAGAGATTCTAAATTAAATGCTATGCGAAATACATAAAGTACACTTACCAGTAGTTTCTTTTGTTAAAATATATGTAAATTGTTTATCCAGGCCAGAGAAGCTCAGACTACAGTTTGCTACCATAAATCGGGGGAAATGTTATTTTTCAAAACAGTGCTTTCAAAAACATTCTAAAGCATTTTAATGTATTTAATAACTGTACATTACATAATCATAACTTTTTTTCAGAGTAAGCTATGCTTTTTCTATAGTTGTAGTACAATAAATGCTGTATATTCCCCATCTCGTGAATACTTTGGATTTTGGTGTGCATACTTACAGGATAGAACGCTTTCACAAAAAACGTTTTGACAAGCTGTTTGAGGACATCAGTTTAATGTATTATTTAGGATTTTGTTTTAGGTTCTCTAACTTATGTATTATGTATAGAAAGAATTATCTAATACACATCTGGGCTGTTAAGCTAGTGAATCTATCTTTTTTTAAGCTTTTCTTAACTCCAGGAAGAAGCTTATTTGTAGTCTGGGAATTAACTTAGATTCAAATAAAACTGATTATTTTACCCTCTTCACTTTTTTCCTCCTATGGCATTAAACTTTAGCAGTAGTCTGTTGAATAGTGTTGGTTGATACAAAATTGAATTGACACACAAGAAAGAATTAGTGAGAGATTTTGACAAGAACTAGGTCTAAGAGTTGCAGTATATCCCAGTTAAATTCCCAGATTTTGAATTACCTTAACATTTTCTAGGAGTCTTCAGAAAGATGTTATAGGCTATTTTTCCTAGTGGTTACGAGCAAACACACAGTACATAGTGTTTAGTGCCCTGTAACCTGTGGCTAACAGAGGCTAATAACAAACCTCAGAGAAGGACTGGATGTTTCATTTTTGTAGCTCTTTCCATCCTGGAATCTAAGTGGTTTGCAAACACTGTGCTACTGAGCATAAACTCAATGAAGTATAGTCATTTGTGAGGTAGAACATAACTACTGTTGTGTGCCAGTGCCCCACACAGATGAACCAGCCTGTTAATCACCAGCAGAAGGATTTGGACTCTGTATGACAACTGGGGAGAGAGTACATGTCAAAGCTGGACTCCCGAGACCCTCTGCTATCTTTTACTATGAATTTTTTAGGTGGATAGTTGCCAACTTGTATTTATAGACCTCTCTTGCATTACTATTTCTCCTTACAGATTGTTCTTATACAGCAGAGTATATGTTGTTAAGTCTATTGTATCTCATTTAATTTATTTCTTTATATAATTAAAAACTAAAGTAGATTATTTGTCATACAAATCAGGGAGAAAAATTACCTGTATTTTTGGGAATAGGGAACCTTTCATTTTTGGGAAAGTTAAATTGTGTGTGTACTGTGCTTATTAAATTTTAGAAGTAAATCTGTGAGATCCCTTATAAGACTGTTGAGTATTGCCACCAATGTTTGTTTCTTCAAGACTGCTACCAGTTATTCCTTTGAAAATGGTTTCCATTTGATTTACTGACTCATTATGTTTATTAGATATGGTGATAAGTAAAGTGGATAAAAACACAGTATTATATAAAGAATAACTTTATGTAATGTTTACTAAAAGTCTTGAGGTTTACAAAGAGAAGCGTGTTGGAAGGGGTGTTAGTGTTTTCTGGGATTGCAGGGGAAAAAAGCCAAGTTAATGTATAGAAAATGGAAATTATTGTTGAAGAATTTGAAGATATAGAAGGGTTTATTAAACTTGAAATCCGATTTTCAAAAGTCATGGCTAAAAGATTGAGGAAGAAGAGGAGCAGGTGAAGGGTAACGGGAAGAGGAAGCCCAGGGCAGTACGGGGGTGAAGACACAGGAAAAGAAAGAATGCAGGATGGATGGAGGGACGTGAGACATGGCGATAGGTTTAGATAGCCACAAGATTACCGAGAAAATTATTTCCAGCAGTCTCCAGTAGATTCTCCTCAGATTTCCGTTGTTGCCAAGATGTGTTGGACTTGTGAGGTAGTTGTATTTTCTAGTGGCTGAGAAGATTCTGATAGATTTCTGGAAGGAGTCAGAAGAGGTCTGGATTGATTGATGTGAGAGACTCAGGGCTTTGAGGGTGCTTGTATTATAGGCTCCCAAAGAGGTGAGTACTTTAGGGTCTGGCTTTGGTGTGCTGACGCTGGTGGGTACCGGCCCTGGGAGGCAGTGGCTGCTTGTATGAGTTTTGGTATATTAGGTTGGTGCAAAAGTAATTGCGGCTTTGAACCGTGAATTTTAAATCATTATAACTCAAACACATCTTTATTAATCAAAATAGGAACCATTACAATCAACACATTCTTGCCAACGAGAAATAAGTTTGTTTATTCCTGTAGCATAAAAACCCATGCTTTGGGATTCGACGAACTCTTGGAAAGCATTTTCTGCATCCTGTTGGTTATGGAAGCATTTTCCCTGCAAAAAAGTTGTCGAGATGCTTGAAGAAGTGAGTCATTTGGTGAGAGGTCAGGTGAATATGGCGGATGAGGCAAAACTTCGTAGCCCAATTCGTTCAACTTTTGAAGTGTTGGTTGTGCAACGTGCAGTCAGGCGTTGTCCTGGAGAAGAGTTGGGCCCTTTCTGTTGACCAGTGCCAGCTGCAGGTGTTGCAGTTTTCGGTGCATCTCATCGATTTGCTGAGCATATTTCTCAGATGTAATGGTTTCACTGAGATTCAGAAGGCTATAGTGGGTCAGACCAGCAGCAGACCACCAAACAGTGACTGTGACCTTTTTTTTGTGCAAGTTTGGCTTT